AATGCAAGTGTAAAAACAACCGGAACAGCTAGTTTCCCGCCAGGCTGGCATATTGGACCTCCTCATCTGCACCTGGTGGCGGAGCGATGACCATGTCGTCCAAACTGTTCTGGGGCGCTGCCTCGACAGTTGCCTGTGCTGCTGCAGCCCGCCGCGAAGATCCTGCCACCTGCCTGCCCTCCTTTGCATACTGCATGCGAACATTCTGGTCCAAGCTGTCCAGCTGCTTCGGTTTGCCCCATGTGACTTTCATTGGGCAGCCTTTGATCACAACCTTGCCCTTCAATGCTTCCGCCGCCGTCTCCGCGTCCTTCCTCTTGACATAGTTGACATAGGCACAATGAGCGCGATGTGAGCACACGAGTGATCGAAGTTGGCCATACTGCGAGAAGTGCACGCGCAACTCGTGCTCTGGCAGATCGTCTTCAACGCCCGTCACAAAGAGTGATGCGATGTTAGTGTCACGCGGTGGAAGCCAATCTTCGGGTTTCGGCTCTGACCCGGGACCGCCCATACGTCCTCCACGCCCGGGTCTCATGCCTCCTCGTCCACTTGGACCACCCCGCAAATCTCTCGTCCGTATTGGGCCGGGTGTGTGTCCTCCTTCGCTGCTGCTACCGCCCGGCGCGGGTAAGGCCTTTTGCCCACTTTCTTGCGGCTCGGCCTCCATGCGTCGTTGTTTCTTGTAGTAAGGTTCACTCTGCGCTAGTCGCTTGAGCAGCTCGCGCGCCTTCTCATCTGTCTTCTCATAGGCTTCCATGGCGCCTCGGCCCTCTTCAATCTCCTTCTCGTGCTCTTGCGCATAGTATTGTCGATTGATGTCACTCTGTGGGCCTGGCGCGACCATCTTCAGCGCTGCATCGCGCACAACAATAGGTAGACCGAAAGAGAGATCCAGCATGCAGCACTGACAGCAGTTTTTGAGGCGGGCGCAAGTCAGGCAAATGTTTGTGCGCTTCTGTCGAGCCGTGCGGTCTGCTTTCCAGCGGAAGATGGTGAAGGGTCGGGTGCAAATCTTGCATTCCTGGCAGTTTGTTAGTATGATGCTGGGAGGTACAGAGAAGCCATGATGCAGGTAGTCGTCGACGAGCTGACAATGCACCGAGGCGCAAAGTACACCGAAGACGTCCAAGCCAGCTATGGTTTGATGTGAAACCTACAGCGCCATGATCTTCCTTTAGCATCTGCACGTAGGGGTTGTCTGGCAGACATTTCTCGCATACAGACGGGAAATCGGTCGTCTCCCATCCGCTGCGGTTCAAATCTTGTTTGATCTGCGGCGGCATGGTCGAGGCAAAGGCGCAGCGGCGTTGGTATGTAGGTAGGTATGTATGTATGTGTTCGTTGTTGTATCAAGCGTATCAGATCCTCTTGGATACGGTGGGGGTCGGGCTGTTGCAATAGGGAGTTAGGTATCTTGGGCTGACCCGTAGTTGATGGATGCGACTGGGACTGCGACTGGGACTGCGACTGGGACTGGGACTGCGACTGCGACTGGGACTGCGACTGCGACTGGGACTGGGACTGCGACTGGGACTACTTCCCAACCGGTACAGATGGTGACGCTAGAAATCTACCCAGGACCCCGAGGCTTGGCACGCGGTTGGGTGGCGAGTCGCGACCGTGCGTGCCTTCCGCTGTAGTATGCACAGGGCCGCGTACAGAAGGCGCCGTGATTGGCGGCAGCCTTTCAGCCCCTTGGGAAATTATCCCCATGTTCCCCCCCCCCCCTCCCCCTGCCTACCGCTCTTTCTAACCCCCCAAAGAGACTCTGCTGCCAATATTTAGGGTCTTCCTTTCTTTAATTGCACGGCTGTCTGCTATACTTTCTCAGACTCTTCACTTTCTCTTCCATTCTCCCTTCCTCTCTCTTCAAAAATAAAATAAAATAAAACAATCAAGAAACAGCCTCCTTTCTCCCACCCCCCCTATCATTCAACATGGCTCCTAGTGTCCTGGAGAAGGAAGACCACACTCGCGATGCCGAGTTCAACAAGGCCATGCACGGCCAGTCTGCAAAGGCTCGTGGTGGTATGACTGCCATGTTGCAAAAGGACAAGGCTGCACAGCAGGCTGCCGTCGACGAGTACTTCAAGCACTGGGACAACAAGACTGCCGCCGACGAGACTGAAGAGACACGAAAGGTATGCCATGAGTGGCGCTTCGACAGTCCTGACATAGACTAACAAGCTCTAGCAACGACGAGACGAATACGCAACCCTGACCAGGCACTACTACAATCTTGCGACGGATCTGTACGAGTATGGCTGGGGCCAGAGTTTCCACTTCTGTCGCTATGCCTACGGCGAGCCCTTCTACCAGGCCATTGCCCGCCATGAGCACTACCTCGCACACAAGATGAACCTCCAGGAGAACATGCGTGTGCTGGATGTTGGCTGCGGTGTAGGAGGCCCTGCTCGTGAGATTGTCAAGTTTACTGGTGTCAATGTCGTTGGCCTCAACAACAACGATTACCAGATTGAGCGTGCGACCGCGTACGCCGAGAAGGAGGGTCTGTCACACAAGCTCAAGTTCACCAAGGGTGACTTTATGGTATGCCGCGAAATTCAAACTTTGTCACAACATGACTAACTCGGGCTTAGCAAATGTCGTTTCCCGATAACTCGTTTGACGCCGTCTATGCGATTGAGGCTACCGTGCACGCACCGTCCCTCGAGGGCATCTACAGCGAGATTTTCCGTGTGCTGAAGCCGGGCGGTGTCTTTGGTGTCTACGAGTGGCTCATGACGGACAAGTACGACAACGACAACCCCCACCACCGTGAGATTCGTCTTGGAATCGAGGTTGGTGACGGTATCTCCAACATGGAGAAGATTGAGGTTGCGCTCGCTGCCATGAAGACGGCTGGCTTCGAGATGGAGCACAACGAAGATTTGGCTGATCGGGACGACCCATACCCATGGTACTGGCCTCTGTCTGGCCAGCTGAGCTACATCAGCTCTCTTGGCGATATCCCCACCATTCTCCGAATGACTAAGCTCGGACGTGGTATCATCCACAAGTTTGTTGGCGGGCTGGAGATGATTGGCCTTGCCCCTCGGGGTACGCAGAAGACGGCTGACAGTCTTGCTGTGGCCGCAGACAGCCTTGTCGCTGGCGGTCGCGAGAAGCTGTTCACACCCATGTACTTGATGGTGGGCAGGAAACCTGCAGCCTAGAGAGGCTCTGCTTCCTTTGCTTGTTGTGTTTTCAACCTAGATTTTCTTCTTCACCTCTTGGCCCGTTGACTTTTTCGCTTCCCATTCTGGAGCATCGTCTCCTATCTCTTGTATCAAAAGCGTTTGGACGGCGCTACTATATACTGTAATATTGGGAGGTACGGCCGCCCAAAAAAAGCTAGGGACGGTGATGGTAACGCGCATGACAGCGGATAGAATGATAGAAGAAGAAGCCATAATATATGTATAATTATAGGACATGTCTGGATGATCCATTATTCAAAGCTGTGACAACCACTGCAGACAGATGCATCCATTTTAAAATGGGTACCGGTATCGAGGCTAAGGTAAGACTGGGAAGTTTGTGTGAAGAGTATGTGCCATGACAGACTAAATGAGCAACACTCTCTAACAGTGAGTCGTCTATCATTCTAAATACTCCACTACCTACACGATAGAGTCATGGTAGATATCGGGTATTATCCAAGCTGTTGAGTTTGAGTGAGCCGTCAGCCGTGGTCCTTGCGGGCGCTAATAGCTTGTGCAGGGCCCAACATTCGCATCCCCGACGAACACCTCCGAAGAAATTGTTGTCTCCAAGCCGCCTCTCCCACCACAACTTCCTCCCAACGCCTCAGCGGCCATCCACCCCCGCCGCCAAATTCCCTCCCTTCACCACCACCACATCCGCCCTCGCCTCCACCCCCCATCTCTACTATCACCACACAATGGCCGCCGCTCGATTTGTCCGCCCGGCATCGCGCCTGCTGTCGGCGTCGCGCCCAGCGCCCATCTTCCGGCCAGCCTTCCGTGGCACCGCAGCCATGACACCGTCGATTGTAGCAAGGAGAGGATATGCGTCGGGACAAAAGGAGATGACGGTGCGAGAGGCACTCAATGAGGCAATGGCCGAAGAGATGGAGCGCAATGAAAAGGTCTTCGTGCTGGGTGAGGAGGTTGCGCAGTACAATGGAGCGTACGTGAAGCCCCCCCCCACTTTTGTGTTTGGATGGACTGAAGAGAGACTGCCACTGTTGTGATACGTCATGCGAGGAAAAAGAAGACATATAGTCTGGCCAATGCGGTTTAGGATTCATGCTAGACGTTATGCGCAACGATTCGTGCCATAGTCCGCTGCTGATAAGCCTCATAGCTACAAGGTCACAAAGGGTCTACTCGACCGCTTCGGCGAGAAACGGGTCATTGACAGTCCCATCACAGAGTCTGGTTTCGCTGGTCTCACTGTTGGTGCTGCCCTTGCTGGTCTACACCCAATTGTGAGTTTTTCCGGAGGAATTCTCGTCTCCATCCCCATACCAAGACACTGACATGATACCCCACGATAGTGCGAATTCATGACCTTCAACTTCGCCATGCAGGCCATTGACCAAATCATCAACTCGGCCGCAAAGACACACTACATGTCTGGTGGTATTCAGCCCTGCAACATCACCTTCCGTGGCCCCAACGGGTTCGCCTCCGGTGTCGCTGCCCAACACTCCCAGGATTTCACTGCGTGGTACGGAAGCATTCCCGGATTGAAGGTCGTCACCCCATACAGCGCCGAGGACGCAAAGGGTCTGTTGAAGGCCGCTATTCGGGATCCCAACCCAGTCGTCGTCTTGGAGAATGAGTATGTCTAGGCCATGTTGAGAAAAGGAGCGCATGCTTACAACGCACCAGGCTTCTGTACGGTCTTTCCTTCCCCATGAGCGAAGAAGCTCAAAAGGACGACTTTGTCATTCCCGTAAGCTGCCCCTCATCCATGTCTACGCAGGTCCATTACTGACATGACAACCCCCACCAGTTTGGCAAAGCCAAAATCGAGCGCCCCGGCACAGACCTCACCATCGTCACCCTCTCCCGCTGTGTCGGCCAATCCCTTGTCGCGGCTGAAATGCTGCAAAAACAACACGGCGTCAACGCCGAAGTCATCAACTTGCGCTCCATCAAACCCCTCGACGTTGAAGCCATTGTCAGGTCCGTAAAGAAGACGGGCCACATGCTCTGCGTTGCCTCGGACTTCCCCTCGTTTGGCGTCGGCGCCGAAATCATGGCTCTGACGTGCGAGTACGCATTTGACTACCTCGAGGCGCCGCCGGCCCGCATCACGGGCGCAGAGGTGCCCACGCCCTATGCCCAGAAGTTGGAGGAGATGAGCTTCCCGACTGAACAGTTGATTGTGGATTACGCGGCTAAGTTGTTGAGGGTGTAAAAGCCGCCATCAAAGATGACATGGAAGGGCTTGGGCAAGGCGTGGGGAAATCACAGCACCTTGTGACCTTATGAGGGGCTTTGGTGTTGCCTCTCCCTCTTTTTTACACACAATGCGCACATTTTTCTTCGCACGAGGGCTATGAGGTGTCTTCTTTTCGTCTTCTCGTAAGAAGCCGTATAGCTGGTTCTTGCTTTTTGGCCCTCGTGTGCGTGTCTGTGTGTGAGAGTGTGGTGTGCTGGTGTGTGCATCTGTATTATGTGGATATTCTTACTGGGCTGATTTGTATGTGATATGAATGAAAGACTGAGCGAGAAGGAGGGATCGCCGTGTACGATTATTCTCATTGGATTATTTCTGCTGGGTTGTTTGAGCTGTATCGTTCGTGCTTTTCTTTCTCGCCCCCCTCTTGTGTATAAGCTCATCACTCACCCACCCCTCCTACCATCCATCTCCAACTTAACAAACCAAAACGCTAGCACGGAAACTTATCCACAAGCCCGCAACACAGCAAGTTATTCAATAAGTTTGAAACAGGAGAACGAATAGAAAGTCAGAAGGGGAATAGTCTAGACTTGATTGTGTGGCAAGGCCGTTGCTTTGCTCTGTTGAGAAGATGAACACACACTACCTCACCCAACCACCCATATCTTGCTCTCCTTCTCCCCCTCACAATTTAATCACTATAACCCCCTCCTCCATCACGCAAACACAGCATGGGAATCCACGGTACAGCGTGGAACAAGCACCTGAGCTACAAAGTCTAGAACAGCATCGTACAAGCCTGATACCTCAGCACAAGCCAAGTCAACGCCCAGCCTGTGCAAATGGAAGGCATGAGTGAGAGCTGGAAATACCGTGGCTTTTGCGAAGGATAGGTGTGGGCGTGGGGTTCGGCAGATGGGAAATGGTATTGCGGATATGGGGTTCCATGTGTAGCAAGGACGAGATAAGCATGGAAAAGAAAAGCAGGAGGAGGATAGTGAAGGTGTAACTGGTGATTTTACAAATCTGTACGTATACTGAGCTGGGGAAGAGGGGTGTGATAAAAGAGGGATAATCATGGGGATTTGGGTAGTTGGTCGATAAGATGGTGAAGAGATGTGGATGCCGATGGTGTTGGTTCATGGTTGCATGGGTATAAAGTGAGCAATGGTAGGCGCATGTGCGGGGGGTTTTGTTCTCTCTCCCTGTGTGTGTGTGTATGTGGATGGGAACAGGGGGAAGTGAGGTCTTGATTAGTATGCCAGATTTTCTTTTCTTGTTCTTTGGACCAAAATGGGGCATGAACGGACTGCTAGCGTTAAACGGTGGCACTGATTATCTGGTGGTTCTTCTACAAGACTGGAGATTTTGACGATAGCAGTCGA